TAGGTTATGCAGCCTGTTTTCCCACTAATTTGAGGCAAAGGGTGCATGTGGTACATGAGTAGACATGATAATATTATCCTTCAGTCTTTTGACATTAAATTTCCTGTTCAAATTTTTGTTTTTATGTTTCATCAGGCATGCTGCTATCTGAGATGTAAGTCCTACAGTGCCATCAAAACAACTGCAGATAGCAAAGTTGATGACATTGTAAGAATTATATGCGTATACAGCAACAGGTTGTTAGAGTCAGAGATTACTTTCTGATACTATCTCAACTTCATTTATTTAATAACTTCATCAAAACTGAATGTGTTGGAAACATCATGAAGTTATCATTATGTAGTTTCCTCCATTGTGCTCCTGATCACTTTACTCTCTGTTCATATGTGAGGAATGATTTCTTGTGTGTATGTGTTTACCAGCGGGCACTGAGGACAATGGTGCTGACATGATAGGAGTCCATAAAAACGTTCAGAAGAAGTTGGTACCCTGGTGTTCAACATTTCCTGGTCAAGATCTCGGATCGGAACTCAGACAGAAACGAGAGGAGGGACTTATAGTCGTAGCATCTCTCATTGACCGTCTGCCTAATCTGGGTGGCCTGAGTCGTACCTGCGAAGTTTTTGGAGTCTCAGAGTATGTTGTGGGAAATCTCAAGTATACCGAGGACAAGCAGTTTCGCAGTTTGAGCGTAACTGCTGAACAGTGGGTTCCAATATCAGAGGTTTGAAGATAGAACAAATTAAATTAGCCAAAGCATGTTTTACTTTAAGAAGCAGTTAAACTGATTAAAACATTTGACCAAAGCAGGACTAATATTTGCCTGTAGAGGTCCATTGCGTAATTCCCTCCAACCCTTACCTTATGATATAGTTCCCTTCCACAGCTTCTTAATCATCATTTTCTATCTCTTATTCTTTTCCTCAACCTCCTCCTCTTCCTTTTGTTTTGTTCTTGTTCTCATTCATACTCCTCCCTCCCCTCCTCTTCCTTCTCCTACTACTCCCTTATCATCTTGTGCCACTGTTCTTCCTCAATCTTTTGTCCTCCTCCTCCTAATCACTTCTTATTTTTCTTCCCCTACTCCTCCCAACCTTCTTTATGTTTCCCCACTTACCTAGATTTTGAGATTTTATATTTCATAATTGCTGAAATTCACATTCACTTCTTTCACTTTCATTCCATTGCTTTATAAATTATTTATAATCACTGCATTTTTGTTCTCCCATGTTTCCTACATGTCTTCACCATCACAGCATTTTACTTTTTATCTTCTGCACAGGACCCCTTGTTTCTGAAACTTTTCATTCCACCCAGTAAGTCTTACACATGTCCCAAGAAATTTAGTTTCACTTGATTTCAACTGAGCTCTTCCTGTCATCTTCACTATCCAGCTGTCCATTTTGTTTCTCTGCTCTTTATCTCCTTGTATTTTTTAATTTCTTTGGAATACAAATATTGCAGAAATTAAATCTCTCTTTAGAGACCAAGTATGTGGTGCAATCCAAAAGGTCCCAAAATATATTAATAAAAACTATTACATCTTACCTGGATCTTATTCTGCACCATCACCTTCAAAGTAGTCCCCTTGGGAGTGCATACACCGATCGCAGCGTTTCTGTCACTTTTCAAATGCATCCTGGAAGTCTTTCTTTGTTAGGGTGTTTAGTACCGTCTGCATTTCCGCTTGAATTTCCTCAACTGTATCAAATCTTCGCCCCTTCAACTTGATTTTCATCTTGGGGAAGAGAAAGAAGTTGCATGGAGCTAAGTCTGGCAAGTACGGTGGGTGGGGAACAACTGCCATCTGGTTTTTAAAGAGAAAGAAGTCACATGAAGCTAAGTCTGGTGAATACTGTGGGTGGGGAACAACTGCCAACTTGTTTTTAGTCAAAAATTCCTGCACAATGTAAGCCGTATGCAGTCGTGCGTTGTCATGGTGGAGTACCCAGTCGTTCGTGCACCAATTCTCTGGACGTTTTCTCCTCATATCCTCCCTCAAACGCCTTAGAACATCGCGATAGAACTCTTTATTGATTGTCAGACCAGGAGGGATGAACTCCTTCTGAACAGTCCCTTCAGTATCAAAAAAGCAGATCAACATGGACTTAATGTTGCTCTTGACTTGTCTAGCTTTTGTGGCCAAGGTGAAGATGGGCTCTTCCATTGCAACAATTGCTGCTTACTTTTAGGGTCACAGCCATAAATCCAAATTTTGTCACCAGTGACAATGTTCGAAAGAAAGTTTGGATCCTCTTGAAGCTGTTGTTGGAGTTCCCTGCAGACTTCCAAGTGATGCTGCTTCTGTTCATTTTGCAGCAGTCATGGCACAATCCTCACCGCCGCAATCCTCCTCATATTCAGTTCCTCTGACAAAATTCGTTGACATGTGCCATAACTTAGTCCCAAGGTGTTACAGAGGTCTTGGATGGTCAGTCTACGATCTTGCATAATCAGATCCCTAACTCTCACAACATTTTCTGATGTGGTGCCAGTTGACAGCCGTCCCGAACGATCGTCATCATCAGTCGATGTTCGGCCATTTTTGAAATGCTTATACCAGTCGTAAGTTTGTGTCTGGCCTAAACTGTTGTCACCAAAAGCTTGCTTCAACATTTGGTGCACTTCTGCATTGGTTTTCCCAAGTTTAAAACAAAACTTTATACAGACAAGCTGCTCTCTCAGGTCAGCCACTGCAAAACCGCAAACTCAGGGAAACACAACAATGGAAATATGTTCACCAACAATAAACCCAACCACTCAACTCAATGCCGCTTGCCACACCAATTCAAGAAGGATGTGTGGGGAGACACCTAGCAGTATTTTGATGTACTCATAACCACTTGTGCACAAAATTCAAATTTCGGGAACTTTTGGATTGTAGCATGTAGCATGTCCCTGAGCTTCTCCAAGCAAATGCTGGAATACAGCAGAGGGACCCAGAAGATATATACACACTTCAGGGTACAAAATATCTGCGTGAATAATATATTGATAACCCAAATTTGATACATGCAGAAAGGGATGGCTGCGACACATGCTGAAACAGAACAAGTGTTCAAAGTGCCCACCATTAGCTTGTAGAATTTTTTTTTTTTTTGGCGGACTAGTGCACAAGGAACTGTGGCCAAGATGTCCACTGGGATAGCAGCACATGACATTTCAATTTCTCCCCATAATATCTCCAGTGTCAGTGGTCCTTCAGGGACCCCCAAAAAGTAGAAGGTGAGGGAGGTTAAATCAGGTGAGTGTATGGGATACTCAACACTATCTCTTTTTCCTATCCATTGACCTGGTAGGGTTTCATCATGTAACAATCTTGGGATGTAAACTTTCCACTTAGCACATTTCAGAATATGATCTTGATCTGCTAATTCCTGTCTCACATGCACATTGTTTTACAGACTTTTGTGGTGATCGTGTAAACTGTTCCCACACAGAAGCGGTGGGACTCATTGCTGTGCAAGGCTTCCCAGATCTTTGCTTGTACACATCATGCACTGTACCATCGGTCTCAAATTTGTCATGAATACTTGCAATTGTTAATCATGTTGGAGGTTCCATTGTAAATTCACGCCACCACCGTCTTTGCACTTTGCATACTTTTTCAAATTTCCATTACAACTTCAGAATTATCTTGAGTTGCTCAAATGGTGATCATTCTGTCACAGTCAGTGTTCACAGTCTTCTCAATCCATCATTCATACTCAGCCTATCATCTAATCCTGTAATAATCCAATACATAAATCAAGAAAAAAAAATACAGCGGACCCTCACTTAATGAGTATAATTCGTTCCAGAATCCTACTCATAATGCAAAACACGTGTTAAGCTTAACAATTTTTCTCATATAAATTAATGTAAAATACGATAATTCGTTCGATGCTGAAAAAATTTTATGTATAACGTTTATTCAAAGAAAATTATATATACATTGTTAAGGAGTGTGAATCATCTTCATCTTTTCTTCTATGCAGAGTGAACCAACCTGGAATGCGAATTCGATTTGCAGAAAAAAAAATCGAACTAATTAGTTTATTATTTATGATATATATCTAATTCTTCCATGATATGTATGTAATGGCCATCTTGTAGTGCACTAAATTTCATATGTCACTTCTTACTACATGTTTCGGCAACATAGTACCATCTATGTAGTAAGAAGCGACATATGAAATTGTGTGCACTACAAGACGGCCATTACATAAATATCATGGATGAAAATCAGTGCAACAGGACGCTAGAATACAACATTATCTAATTCTTTTTTACTAGAATGCTGTCTAGAGACATTTGTTTTTGCCGACGCTTCAAAATTTGGTGAAAATTCGACACAGCATTATCATTAAATAAATTTGTAACACGCATAGCCATTGCCTTATTAGGGTGATGCTTCTCAGTGTACGATGCAACAGTTTCCCATGCTTTCAGCATTTCTCTTGTTGCGCCAGAAGATTGTTGCATTGCCCTTACCTCTGTCTCATCACAATTAAAAACCTGTTGCAGCAGGTAACCCTCAGAATCTACTAGCTTCTCGAAGTCACCAATGAAGTTCTCTGCCGCCTTTCTGTCGGACCTTGCTGCTTCACCGTGCCTTACAATGCTGTGGATGCCGGTTCTTCTCCTAAACTTCTCGAACCACCCACGGCTTCCCTTAAATGCTTCTTCTTCAGCCGTTGATGATCCTGGCGTCTTCTTAATGAGGTCGGCAAAAATCACTTTCACCTTCTCACAAATGATGTCCTTGTTAATAGTGTCACCTTGCAATTGCTTTTCGTTTATCCATATGAGGAGCAACCTTTCAACATCGTCGAGAATACGTAACCATTGTGTAGATATTCTTGTCACTCCCTTTGAAGCATCTATCTCCTTAATCTTGTCCTTGTTCTTGAGGATAGTGCAAATCGTTGATGTAGACCGATTGTATGTGCGTGCTAGATCAGCCACGCTCACACCTCGTTCTCGCTTTTCAATGATTTTACGTTTCATTTCTACGGTTATTTTTATTCTCTTATGTCTGTCTTTTTGCAGCTTTTTCTTCGGGGACATTTTTGCAAGGGTTATTAAACTTTGCACAAAAAAAAATCACAAATAATATGTCTGAACACAAGTTTGGAAAAATGTGTGATCACAAGCGACACTAAGATGATAGCGGAACGAGTGCTAAACACAGACTGATGTAGCAAGCGCACAATCCGGGACTTCCCCTCTCGTCACTTGTTATGCGAAACGTCACTCGTTAAGCGAGTAATTTTTTTACAATTGTTTTGCTCGTTATGCGAATTACTCGTTATGAGAGGTGTTTGTTAAGCGATGTTCCGCTGTATATTTATTGTGCTTTATGTTCAGGTGAAGCCTCAATTTCTGTCCATGTACTTGGAGGCCAAGAAAAAGGATGGTTACACATTGATTGGAGCTGAGCAGACATCAAACAGCACTCGGCTGAATGACTTCAAGTTTACTCAGAAAACCCTTCTCCTGCTAGGGTGAGTACAGCAATATAATTGGCTGTGGAAGTGAGGAAGCCTGTTACAAGTTCAGAGAAAGCAGTATCAGTTTTGGTGTAAGTTCAAAATTTGAGTTTTAAATCATAAGTCTGAAAATTTAGAGCTTGATTCTAATGGGAGCTACTTTATGGGATCATAAGTCTGCAGACTTGGAAGTTGAGAAGTTGGTTGAGGTATGACTGTGTACAGAATGTTGGTAAGCAGTCAGAAATCTATGAAGGAGCTAGAAGGATAACATAAAGATGAATCTTAGTGAAACTACTTAAGTAAGAGTGATGTGAATGCAGTTGACTCTGGAACATGGCCTGTGTCAGGTTTTTCTATTATTGGTGTTGAACATTTGGATTCTGTTGCAAGAGAGTCAGCTGCTTAGGTAGTAAGCTGGGTAAGTGTGCAGTGTGGTGATAAGTTTTATATAGTATTTGCTCGTATGGCTTTCTATTGGCTGATAGATAAAAAGGTGCAAAGACTATTAAAAATAAGGCAATGTGTTTCTTTAAGCAAGAATGGACATTATATTACCTGGCTAAGTGCTGCAAGCCCAGGTTTTCATTGCCAGCAGAATGTGTTTCTCTGTCTCCGACAGTGTTGAAACCAACAGTGGCACCCAAGATCCTATCCATGAGATTTTGGGACCTACTTTCTCAAGGGTAAAGAGGTCAATGCAGGAAGCTGACCCGTGGAACTCTGCCAAGTTGGTCTCTGCTAGACATTATTTGACATGTAGGTCTGTTGTAATTTGGTTCATTTTCTTTTCAGCAATGAGAAGGAAGGCATCCCAGCAGATCTCCTACCATTTTTGGATGTTTGTGTAGAGATCCCCCAGGAGGGGGTTGTACGCTCCCTGAATGTTCATGTGACTGGTGCACTATTTGTGTGGGAGTATATGAGACAGCAAGCTCTGGCAGGAACACATTCAAATAGAGTTCATTCACAAGAAGAGGAAACATGACATATTGCATTATTTCTGCATGTCCTGTCTTAATAAAATTGTGGTAATTAAATTAACAAGCTCTATGGAGCTGAGTCCTTGAAAAGCCAACAGTTGCTAAGCTACTTTAGAAATTCCCAGCATTTTATGAAACACAAAAGTTCACTATCGTGTTCACAAAATCCCACCATTGGTCCATATCCTGAGCCATATGAACCCAGTCCACACACCCCAGTCCATCTCTGTAAGATCTATTTGCGGTCCCCTTCCTTGCATGCTACATGCCTTGCCCATCTCATACTCCTTGCCTTGATAATTCTAACAATATTTGGATAGGAGTACACGTTATGAGGCTGCTCATTATGAATTTTTCTCTAGCCTCCTATTATTTCAACACTTACATCAAACTATTCTACTTGGTATCCTGTTCTCAGACGTCCCCCTTCTGTGTTCTTCCCTTAGTGTGAGAGACCAAGTTTTATATCCATACAAAGCTAGAGGAAAAATTACTTTTTCATATATTTTAATCTTTATGTTTTTAAATAACAGGTGAGAAAATGAAAGATTCTGAACTGAATGGTAGTAAGCATTACCTGATTTTAATCTGCTCTTAATTGCCTCATAAGTCAGTATGTCAGTGTTGGTCTCAAATACATGAACTTTGTTGGATGTCAGTGGATTTATTAGCTTTGCTGGTTGGTTGGTTTCCAATGGCTGCATTTGGGATCATTTAACCCATTTTGCATCTTGCTTCCCAATAGAGAGCACTCAAGTTTTTCTTTGTTGCATCTTGAAGTTTCCACTTTCCTTTTGGGAAGCTTTGCCAGATTTTTTGCTCATTTTGCACTACCCAGCGGACACATGTCTTAGAGAATGTCATGGACGTGAGCAACTTTGTCCCCCTTATTAGCTTTGTTTATATTGTAACGTGTTTACGTTACTGAAGACGCCGTAGAGATCNATATTATGATTATGTTTTGTGTTCAGGTGACAAGACAGGATCATATACTTAATTATCTACATGTTTACTTCTAGACTGGCCTTTTTTACTAGCTTCTGGGGTTTCTTTTTTAATCCCTCAATAAACTAACATCAGAAGCAAAGGTGGTAAAGCATCTCCTTGTGTCAGATCATTTTCACCAGGAAATGTGTACCACAACTGTTCAGAACAGATTAGATACTCGAGTCAGTAGAAAAGCTTAGAGAATCACCAATATGTATCATGTAGGAAATTATTACAATTTCAGGTTTCATAATTCATTCCTACTTGAACCATTGGGAACAATAGTTACAAGATCTTAAAGGTACTATAAATACTTAAAAGAAGTGCTCTGGAATTAAGTAGATGATGTGTACCAGCATCTACCACATTTACATCCTTTGTCCCCAAACACTGAGGTGTTCATCTCTTAGAAGCTTAAAATAGTGGAGTACCTGTCCCACATACTGTTCAGAATCAGTTGTTTCCTGACTAATGGTAAGGTAAAGTTGTCCTTGTGTTTAACTAATTAAGCACTACGGCATGAAGGTGTATACAGGGGGGTGGGATGGATGTATAGATCCACATTTTCTTGACCTTGACACCTCACACCCCAGCTGCTTTACCTCCCAGGTAAAGGACACCTCGTACCCATTGGATAGTATGCTGGGTGGGTCCCAGAGCCGGTCTGGACAACATGGAAAAGAGAAATTTCTTGACCCTCTCAGGACTCAAACTCCAACCCCTCGCTTGTCCAGCCCATAGTCAGTTGCTATACTGACTACACTGTCCTGGCCTAATTCTTAACTAATGGGAAAAAAAAAATTATTGTAATTGTTAATTGCTTGAAGTAGTTTCTGAGCTATGGGATACAATTCTGATATCTTAGGGATTGAAAACTGGTTTTACTAGATAACAGTGAACTCTATGACCAGTTCTGTTTGCTGCGGTTTGATCAAGCAGAACCAGTGGTATGTGCCTATGTAATCAAGGTATGGGCTGTGACTGGCTAGCAGCTTTCCCATCAAAATATGGGGAATAGAGGGAGGTAAGTTACATATATGTTCAATGAAAAGAATCAGCATTCTCCTTTAATGTATAGGCAATATGTTGCTTTCAGTAAATGAGTGCATGCATGTTATTTACCCCGCATAATAATTATTTGTTGACATACTTTTAGGAACTAGTTGCCAAAGCGTAATTGTGTTCTATAAATGCTAGAATTTATATAAGCCTCATCCAAGGTTCTGTTTAAGTAATGTTTTATAGTCTAGAAAGATATTTGGAATGTATTGTGTGTGAAATTGATTGTAAGGTAATTATCAACACTAAATTGATTTAACCAAAGGGAACCTGGAGAAGAATAGGTAAGCCATACAGTTTGGAGGCCAAACATTCCCAACCTTACAAGACATTGTGAATGTCAAATGTAATCTGGAGTGTTTGTGCTGAATTCAGATGTAAATAGAGCCTGCATAAATTTGTTATTGCTTGATACTTGCCTGTGAGCCGTGTCCCTTGACCCTGTGGGTAAAGAACCCAGTTCTTCTACCCACTTAAACCCGTGAACCCCTGCTCAAATGGGTAAGGGACAGGCTCATAAGAAACGACTTGCTTGTATGTGATGTACTATGCCTCCCCAAGGTCGAGTAGGGGATCTCGGGAGAGGAAAACCACTATGGGCCAAACTGGTAGGGAACACACTGCACAAGTATACATAAATACAACTGGCGTTTCCAAACATATAAATAAATATATATTGATAACGTAAGTATACAGGTGGACTCTGCCTGATGGGCAGGGACTGGTCGGAACATGTGATAATAATTAATACAAAGCTACACTGTGCCTAGCCGCACAGAACTCAAGTCAGGCTCGCCTCATGGCGTCATTCATCTTCTCCAGTACAAACATGTACTTACGCAAGCCTTGAGGGCACAAGGAAACATAAACAGGTTACAAACGCCTGAGGGGCGATCTGCTGTTTTACACAACCCAAAACAAAACCAAATTATCTTACGCCACGCGGCGTTCATAATTTAAAGGAAACCATCTCAAACAGTAAGTCACTTACTTGCGTTTCCTGAATTACAACACAAAGTTTTACCTCACGACTTGATCCAGCCTTGATCACGTCGTGAGGGCACTCTTCCCCCTTCAGACACTGCTACAGGCCAAAACCGAATTTCACAGGATCAATTCAACATAACGAAACTAAATTTGGACGCAGCGATGTTACCT